TCCTGGATCATTTAACATTCTGCCTAAAGCATCCTTGATTGTAGCAACTCGAGGTTTGAATTTGTTCTTCAGTTCCTTGAGCTTAAGAAATGCTGAACGAGTTCGGCCCTTTGATTTTTTGCCTCTAGTTCCTCGCACATTTCATTGTAATATTTTGCTTTGTGATTCCGTGCTGCCTTTTGGAATCTTCTGTTCAGCTCTTTAGTATCTTGAATTCTTCCTTGTGCTTTGGCTTCTCTACGTTCCAGTGCAATCTTCAGAGTATCTTCTGACATCCATTTTGGTCTTTTCTTCCTCTTCTGTCTTTGTAATGACTGTCTGCACTCTTCCTGGATGATACATTTAACATCCTCCCACAACTCATCTGGTCTTCGCTCATTAGTGTTCAAGGCCTCAAACCTGTTCCTGAGATGATTCTCATCTGCCAAATGGGGATTACCCCATTTCATCCCTATAAGTGGCATCAGCATATTCTGACATGCCAAGAGTCAATGGGAGAATGTCTAAGAAGAAACTCATAAAGCAGAGTCAGCTTCTCAGAGTAACTCAAACGTGGCTCTGACACTTAAAAGTCTGATGTGAACTGAGATTGAGAAAATCATCATCTCAAAGGGCTATTAAAAAACCCAACACACAACCAAACAAAATGTCAACTCATTTTACATACAGCTGACTCTTACACAATGTGTTCAGGGGTTCTGACCTCTCAGAGCAGCAATAATCCTTGATTAACTTCTAACTCCCTAAACTAGTAGACTGCTTTGTCCTGAAGGCTTATCAGTAAATCAATTAACATTTTATATGTTACATGTATACAAATTCTGTATGTTATGTTAAAGTCTTACAACAAAGTGTTATCTTTGCTCTTCAAGGTTTGGGTACTGATTAGTAGCTTTATAGATAAGTGTAGTCCTATTTATAAACCTATTTATTTGTATTTGCACAAAACAGTAGAGTTAGCTTACCCCTTCTTTTTTTTTTTTTAGCTTACCCCTTCTTTAAATCTCAGTGATCGCTTTTATTCCTTACCAAAAAAATATCCTTTGTGGCAATGCCTTTCATAATGATGTCTGGGAACTCGTCTGCTGCCTCCTAGTAAACAGAAACCATTTCTCCTACTGTCTTTTGACTTTCAAGCCAAAAATCTTATTCTAAAATTATCAAAAAATCCATTGCTCGATTAGCTCTCCAGCTTTTTAGTTCCTTCACTGTCTTTTCGCTTTGGCCTATACTAATAATGTCCCTTTTTCTCAAATCATATTAGATAGACTCTGTAGGTACACCTATCTTTTTTAAAAAAGATAAAGAATAATGTATTTGTTTATTTTTAAAAAGACAATACTAAATATCTAAGAAAATTAATAAATGAATGCATGCATGCATGCACTGGTTGTTTTTCTGTACATTATATAATGCTCCCGATGCGACCTTTCTAAGGATAGCTGCCCAGGAAAAAGGAAAAACAACTCCTAAAGCGGGGCTGGGACCTCCACTTCCATCTCAGGACAAGTCTCCTTAGACAGAGCAAGGGATCAAAAGGAAGAGGTAAGCATCTCTCCCACATCTCTCTCCTCTGCCTCTTCTGCTTTTACCTGATGCATATCTGAAACTGAAGAACTAAAAGGAAAGCTAGCTTGGGATGACCACCCTGGTAACCACAAGTTTGGATGGACTTGGAATTCTCTCCTCATTAGAAAAAATCTGGCACAGAAAGGACAAGAACTGTTGTTCATATACAGGGAGACTGTGATGGAAAGCCAAATCACACACATGGAAAAGCATGTGCTACCTCTAAGCAAAGCTGTAGGTAGGATAAAGCTTTCTGCAAAATGTGAGGGTTTACACGGTCTACATGGTCGGGCATGTCCAATCCAGTTTGACATAATTGTTAAGCTACTCTCAAAGGTCACATTTTCCATGTTGTAAGAGCTTGCTCTCTTTGCTAAGGCGAATATGTTGTTGTTGTTGTTATGTGCCGTCGAGTCATCTGCGACTCATAGCGAAAACTTATTGTAGCACCAATTTTCTGATATAAAGACAAATTATGCTGGGATTAAAGTAGGTGAATTAAATGCAAATTTCACAGTTCTGGGGTAAACTGGCTTATACTCAATAGTTTGCAGTTTATATATTCTATAGTAAAATGCAGTCTTAATAAAGCAAATGTTCCTGTTGAGCTGTACAATTTCAGAGTTAAGGTCAGTGAATCACTTTTGAAGCCCTCAGAGTGTATAACCTTGCCCTGCATCCAGGAGGCCTCTCCATTATCTGTGTTTTTCTAAGTAACTCAGGCATAGACAGTTCTTTCCTCATGAAAGTCAGGGAACCTCAGAGACTATTTTTTAAAGGATCAAGAAATTCTGATTCCAGAGTCTTAAAGCCTTGTGTTACATGCAAAGCTTCATTTCTGCGGAAGACGAAGCACTGTTTCTTCCACTTACAATTATTCACCCACGGAAGTCACTAATTCATGCTCCTGAAGCATTTTTTTTTTGACAGAGGGTCATGGCACATTTGAGGCTCCCTGAATGCCGGACAGGGG